TTTTTTTTTTTTTGTATTTTGAGACAGGCTGTCCCTGAACTTACTGTGTAGCCCAGGCTGGTCTTGAACTCATGGTGATCCTCCTGCCTCAGTCTCCTGAGTACTAGGATTACAGGCATATGCCACCATGCCCAGCTGATTAGACAATATTGAATTGTTGGTGAAATTAAATAAAAGATGGCTGAATCCAGGCTGCAAGTGTAAACGGAAATCCCCTGCGAGGGCATTTAGTTGTTCAGTTTCTGGCCTGAGAGCAGCAGTCAGTGTGAGGCTCAGCACCTGCAGGGTGGGGGCTTCACAGTAGGGGCCCTCTCTGCGCTTGGCGATCACCAAGGGAGGCTTCCTGCCAACAGTCTGACAGACCACACCTGGGGCTGCCACACCTGCCCAAGTTCACTAGCTGTCTTTTCTCCTCTCGTGTCACAAAGAGTGTGGTCATAAACAATCTGACAGCCGACAGTTAACAAATCCTACCTGTCATGGAGATGTCCTTTGTGTTTTCGTTAGAATATAGCTGCCTTCAACATTTAGGGACTAAGCATGGTGGCACGTACCGAGTGATCCAACACTCAGGAGGCTGAGGCAGGAGGATCACTGGAGTTCAAGGCCAGCCCAGCTACTAGTGAGCTCAGGGCCAGACTGCACAATGTAGTGAGACCCTGTCTTGAACAAACAAAAACCATTTAGGAAACCCTTCTTTTTGTAGTGGGTAAAGCTGACTTGAAGAAAGATAGAAAGCTGTGACACTCATTTCACCCCCTCTCGTCTTGCCCCAGCCCCAGCTTTAGGTAGGTTGTGCGATCTGGCCTCTTGGGGACACTGCCCAGCGGGGTTCTGCCTTGGGCTGAGCTGCGCTTTCCTTCTGCGTCTGCTTGGCAGAGAAAACCTAGAGTCTCCACCACTGGATAGGAGAGTTCGGTTAGAAGCGATGTCACCACGCTTGCTGTCCAGACGCGGTGCCCCGCAGAGGACAGTGTAGCTGGCCAAGGCGTGAGTCCCATCACCGCTGATTCTTACGGGCTGTGTGGGTCAGTGCGTCATCTGCAGGGCACTGCGTTCACGCTCATCCCTCTGCCCGCTCACGTCCGGGTGTCTTTTGTGCGTGTCCTGGGGGACAGCTGCAGAGTTCACCGCTTCTTCCATTTAGCTCCTCAGATATTCACTTTGCATCTGCTGCTTCTGAACCTTTGGCGTGGCTGAGGCAGACCCACCTCCGCCGGCTGCAGAAAGGTCCCAGGCCCTTGTGGGGGTGTTTGTGTCACTAGCTCCTGCCTGTGCCCAGCGGGTGGAAAGAGCGTCCTCGGAGAGCGCGGTGTGCAGCTGGGCAGATGCGAGGCCTGTGGACAGGAAACAAGCTCCTGAGGACTGTCTTCTTTCTTGCTTACCACCACCCCAGTAGGCACCAACCGCCAAGGTGGGTGGTGGGAACTAATTTTTATACAAAGGGAAACCTGGGCTACTGTGACATGATCTTTTTCTGTATTCATGCCATTCAGACCAGAAGGCTGAGCCGGGGCTGGAACCAGGTCAGCTCTCTCCGAAGAGGCGTGGGGCTTCTCTACCATCCATGGTCCCCACTCAAGAGGCCAGGCCAGGACCTGTCACACTCAATTTCCTTCCTGACTCAAGGGGCTAGGGGAGGACACTCAGACTTCAGGCCAAGAGCGTGCTGGTCCGCCTTTTCTTTGGGGCATTAGAGATTTTACGGTGCCCACGGAGCCAACACCTGTAACGTTAGGGTATGCGTGGTAATAGAGCTTCAAGATAAGACAAGTAGTTTCCAGTCTATAATGATTACATTCATTGTGGGGAGTTGGTACATGTGCATACACACCTGAATTCTTTTTATATCTCCTTTCCCTCCCCTCCGTCCCCCTTCTGTCTCGCTCTTCCCTTCCCTTTTGCGAAAGACACTATGCATGGTGGTGTGAGCCCTTTAGAAGCTCAAAAGTCAGAAGCTTCTCTGGACCACAGTCTGAAAAAACAAAATGTCCTTAGGGTCCTACACTGACTTCCCTTTTACAGTGTTTTTTTCTGGTACCGGGGATGGAACTCAGGACCTTGCGCTTGCCAGGCAGGCACATTGCCACTGAGCTACATCCCCAGCCCGTGACTTCCCTTTTATACTGCAGTTAGAATTTGGCAAACTACTGCTGTTCACCTGACTTTTATGAATAAAGTTTTATTAGAACCAGTCATGCTCAGCCCTTTATATAGCATCATGGCTGCTCTTGCAGTACAGGTACAGTGGCACACAACAGAGAGGGTGTGGCCACAAAACTTGAAATACTGTCACTGCTGGAGATGCTGCCCACACATAGCCTCTGTCAGGCCTCCTGACCTGCTTTACATTGTTGAGGACCATCTTGTGATTCCTTCCCTTCTTTTCTTTTTTTGTCTTCTCAGATCTTTTCATAGGTTGAGCGTCCTTTGAACAAACCCCAAATCTCTAATGAGAACAGATACCTGCTAGTTGCCAGATTTGATGGGAGATCTCAAAGCATTAAAAGAATTAGGGACATTTCCCTGGATTTCATTGTAGATGGAATTTGGCCTTGAAAAAGACTTGCTGAGGGCTAGGGGTATATTCAGTGCTAGAGCACTTACCTCGCAGGCACAAGGCCCTGGGGTCAACCCCTAGCACTGCCAAAAGGAAGAAAGCCTGCTCGTGTTCCTTCTTTTCATACTGTGTGATTAAGACGTCCATAGTAATCAGACTGGGTCAGTTCCTTCCCAAGAAGCAATGTGTTGCTCCTCCTAGACCCAGGATAAAAACCGTGGAGTTGGCCATCGGAAAGACTAGGAGTCCTTACTCCTGGAAATCT